AACTCCCAGAAGTACAAGCTGGATTTTGAAGGGGCAGAGGAAGTAGAGACCAAATTGCTAACATGTGCTGGATTATGGAGAAAGCCAGAGAGTTCCAGAAAAACATCTACTTCTGCTTCATTGACTATGCAAAAGCCTTTGGCTGTGTGGACCACAGCAAACTATGGCAAGTCCTTAAAGAAATGGGAGTGCCTGACCACCTTATCTATATGGTTGCCACTTCACCAGGTGTCACACTGAAACGAGGGCCAACATCTGTAGAACAATCCACTGCCCTCCATGAGTTTGCTCCCCCCCATAAGTGCAGCCGGAACCCTCCACTCCCCACTCGGCCCCTCCAGCCGGGGGACTCTTCCTCTGCCCAATCCGGGCAAACGAAACCGAGTCGGATCGCTGGGGGCCGCTTACCGCAGGCGGTGGGGTGAAACTTTGGTAGAGCGCATCCCCGGCAGGCAAGCTGCGTCTCCGGGGCTCCGCTCCCTTACGGACCCAGACGCTTTCCATCGGTTGCCGCACGGCGGCCAGCTGCCGGCGCGCCTCTTCCGCCTCCCGCTCCTGCCGCGTCCTCTCCGCCTCGTTCTCGCGCAGCCGGGCCTCCAAGGCGGCCACTTCCTGGGTCTTCTCTTGGCAGAGCAGCCGGCAGCGGCTCAGCTCCTCCTGCAGCAGCGCATGCTGCTTCTGCAGCAGGGAGAGATCCGTGGCTTGCCTGTCGGAGGAGGAGGAGGAAGAGGCGCCTTCCTTGCGGGAGTTGGTCCGGCTCAGCCGCTCTCGCCGTTCGTTCGCCTCCTGTAACTGAAGCTCCAGGAGGGTATCTTGATGGGCCACAACCCCCTGATGGGAAGGAAAGCATGAAGCACCATTAGGACTGACTGGAAAAGCAATCTTTACGGGCTGCGTTTCATGGATGCCGTCGTCCAGAAAGGCATCTCCTGGCTACCAAGCTGGTGCCGGATGACCCGGCTGGATGGCTGCAACTACAGAGGGGGTGTTTAACATCTGGAACAACACCTGTCTAACAGCCCTTTGGGATGAGATCTTCGGAGTTCCCTAAGTGGAGACCTCTTCGGAGTTTCTTGAACAAAGGGTGAAACATCTCTGTTCTATGCTTGCAGATTTAATAAATTAATTCAATTTTTATAGTAAAAGTAAAGGTTCCCCTTGACATTTAGTCCAGTCGTGTCTAACTCTAGGGCGCGGTGCTCATTCCCATCTCCAACCCATAGAGCCAGTGTTTGTCCAAAGACAGTTTCCGTGGTCACGTGGCCAGCCTGACTAGACACGGAACGCCATGACCTTCCCACCGTGGTGGAGCGCACCGTTTAACGACGAATCCGCATAGCGACCCGTTTTTTGCGGTCGCTAATGCGTTTGCATTGCAATGTTTAGATAGGCTAAACATCGCATTGCAATCATTTCTGCCCCCGGTGGCCATTTTGGAAACAGCTGATCGGTAATTCCAAAATGGCCGCCTGGTGCAGAAAATGGCCGCCCGCACCATTTTTGCGCCCTGCCCTCGCTTACCGGGCAGCGAAAATGGCGGCTGGATCCAGGATTCTTCGCTTACCAGTGAGTTTTTCCCTAATAGGAACGCATGGGTTTTCCCCGCCCGGATAGCGAAGAATCCGGATACCGACGTTAATCCTGGAACGGATTAACGTCGCTATGCGGGGCACCACTGTACTTGCATTTGCATGCTTTCAAAGTGCTAGGTTGGCAGGAGGTGGGACAAGCGATGGGAGCTCACTCCACTGCCTGGATTCGATGTTACGACGGCTGGTCTTCTGACCTTGCAGCACAGAGGCTTCTGCGGTTTAACCCGCAGCGCCACCACGTCCCGTTCAATTTTTATACCACCCATCTGGAAGCCAGGCCACCACTCCGGGCGGCTCAGAATAAGAGCATTGAGAACATAAACAAAAATACGATAACAATAATCATTAAGCAAGGCAAGTTCCTGCTGGGTGATCGTGTCGGATCTTACCTCTTGGAGGCGACTGGGATTAGTGGAAGGGGGGGGAACAGACAGGGAGGGGGGATGTTTTGAATCAGAAGCTGCTGTTCCCTCCAGCTAAGCAGGGGCTGCCCCATCACACGAGGCAGGAGAGGATGGAGGAAGGGAGGACGCACCTACAGAAATCATAGACCGGCTTGCTGCAGAGTTGGCAGAGGGTCACGTTTCATTTGTGCTGAGCTTGTAGCTCGCAGGAGGCTGCCTGCCTCAGAGGTGTCCTGGAGGGTTATTTACTGACAGGCAGGGAAGGAGCCGCCATGTTGAGGAGAGTCCCTCAGGGGAAAAAAAAGGCTTTGCAAAATCTTGTTTATAGATCTCCAAAATTGCCAAGAACCTCATATCTGGTTAGAGAGGCCATGGGCCACGGAAGAAAACCAGGAAGGGCCAAATAGCATTCCCAGGCAATTTATCACCCAATCACCAAGCAGAGGGAAACCTGTTTCGATTCAGCAAGAGGGCTACATCCTGTGTCTCCAGACCGTGTCGGGGATATACCCGACGTCTTAGATCAACTGCCTGAACGGAATTTGTTTGGGACAGCGATAGGATTCCTTCTGCTCTCTGTAGACATCAACACAGAATCCCTTGGCAGATACAGATCTGGAAATCTTGAGAATCCCTTCCAGCAGGAACGCTGCCCTCGGGTTTCGAACCACACTAACCTACCTGCAGGCCATGGAGCAGAGAATAAAGAGTCTTGACCTTCTGGAGCACTTCCTGGGGAGAGAAGGATTAACTGCCATCAACTTGACAATTTAGGCAACCAACACTGCAATCCATCGGACGGGGCTGCCTCTGCCATGAGGAAGACAGGGGCGACCTCTCTCCAGACAGCGCATTCTGGACATCAGGAAAGGGCAGCAAAATCGGAGCAACTTGTTACCGTATTTTTCCAAGTATAAGACTATACTTTTGTGTAAAATCTTTAGACTAAAAATTGAGGGTTGTCTTATACATGGAAGTAAGCAGAGGAGAGAACAAAAGCAAGTGGAGGGGAAAGCAGGGATCAAAGCGATCCTGCAGCGCTTTGATCCCTTTCCCCCTACACTCGCCAAGCCCCACTTAGATTTCTTAATTTTGGATTAGAAAAAGGGAGGGCGTCTTATACATGGGGGCATCTTATACACGGAAAAATACGTTATTTTGTACTGCAAGAGAGGAGAGTAGGGCTTAGGGGACATTCTGCCTCCCGTCACAACAGAAAATGTGATTGGCTTTTGGTTTCGTGCTCCTTGCCTTGGAGGTGGACCGAGTGGCCATCTGCTACTTCACGTCAGACAGCAAAATGTCTTGGGTCACCCCAAGAATACAAACCAGTTACAGCACCCCCTTTAGACACATTCCTCCTGCTCCTTGCAATACCGGGCTGGCCGTCCACTCACCTCCTGAGACATTTTTGGCTGCAACTGGTTGCCGTTCCCATCCTGTATGAACAACACAATAAGACAGTGTCACAAGGGCCCGTGCATGAACCGCCCCAAAGACCACAGAGATCAGGCATCATCCAGGCTGGTCCTCAGTTTGTTGTGGGGCCCTGGGGGACCACCTGTAAGGACGGTTCGAATCCCCACTGGGCATCCCGGAAGAGCCCACCTGTGCAGCCAAACGGCACAGCCACAGGGCACCCCAAGGAGAAGAGAAGAGTAGACCACTTCTGAGTAGTCTCCACCTTAAAAAGACCCCTCAACAAGGCCACCATGAGTCAGAACTGACTTGACGGCAGGCAATCATTGATCATCAAAGCATTCAATTTATTATGACCCTATGAACTAATGACTTCAAAAGATCCTTCATTAACCGCTCAGATCTCACAGATTAAAGGCAGTGCCTTCCTGTATTAAGTCAAATCCCCCCTTCCTCTTTTCCCACTACCTTCCACTTTTATTTTTCCCTTGCGTTACTGTCTTTTCCAGTTCATCTGGTCTTCTCAGCACACCCCAAGTGTGATAGCTTCAGTTTAGTCATGCTAAGTAGAGGTATCCTTCAGGACTGCTTAAGGTTCCCCTTGACATTGAGTCCAGTCGTGTCCGACTCGTACGGCGCGGTGCTCATCCCCGTCTCCAAGCCGTAGAGCCAGCGTTTGTCCAAAGACCGTTTCCATGGTCATGTGGCCAGCACGACTAAACACGGAGCGCCGTGACCTTCCCACCAAGGTGGTGCCTATTTATCGACTCGCCTTTTTACATGCTTTCGAGCGGCTAAGTTGGTAGGAGCTGGGACAAGTGATGGGAACGCCATCCATCGCCTGGATTCGATCTTACAACGGTGGGTCTTCTGACCTTGCAGCACAGAGGCTTCTGCGGTTTAACCCGCAGCGCCACCACGTCCCATTCAGGAGTGCTTACATGTGAGTAAAGCATGCCCTCTCTATGGCAACACCACCTCATACTGTCAAGCAAAACTAACTAAATAAATAAAGCCAAGCTCCTTCTTTTGACTAGGGAGTATGCAAAATGGCAAAAGCTGGCTAGAGCCAGGGAAATACTTTTGAGACTCTCCTAAATTAGAAACGACATAATTCCTCACTAGGGGGATTTTCCCGCCACCTGATTCAACAGAGCCCATTTCCCAAAGCCTTGGGAGCTTTCTTGCCCTCCCTCATGTCAAACTAGCATCGTGTTGCACGCGAGGATTGCTCACAGAAGTAGAAAAGGAAAAGCGGACAAACTCCCTCTTCGCCTAAAAGACTCACCTGCTGATTCGAATCTGATTCAGCCCTGGGGAATTCAAGAGAGCCATTGATACTCCCAGTCTCCCCATCTGTAAAAAAAAAAGGTAAGAGGGAGCTGAAGAAGGCCATCACTTGACAAGCAACTTGGCCCCATCCGCAATCCTGTCTGTCCGGACTAGTAAAGGAGAAATTTACTGGCCAACAAAATCAGGGCTAGCTCACTTCCGGATACAGTTTTTCCTAACTGAAAGATCAAGGGCGTGCATGGGCCATATCCAAAATTCTCCTGACATCCAAAGAATGTCTCCTCATCGCATTTTATACCATTTCCCCTCCCAGGTTTCCCACACTTTTTTTCATCCTGCCCAAAACCAAGGATTTTTCTTTAAAAAAATTAGTTTGTATCCAGGGCAGGGTTTACGGTCAGGATGCTTCCCAACCAATGAAGCACACTTCCCAAAACAAGGGACATTGGGCTGGTGAAGTGCCCAGCTGGTGGGGCCACCCCTCTCCAAGCTTCGACTATAACACCGAAACACAGCTCACTGTTCAAAAGGGAGTGCCAATAAATTCTGTGGTTTTTTTCCGCAGTCCTTCGGCAGAATTAAAGGCAAAACAGTATGCGGCGCGGAATATCCTTCCTAGCCAACTTTCCAGCCAATGCAGGATTCATTTCCTCGTTTTACTAACTCAGCATGAACCCACTCTTGGGGGAGTGTCAGGGAGGACCTGCAGCCCCCCCCCATTGAAGGTTGATGGAGTAGAAAGGGGTTGCATCAGGAAAAAAAACAGGGGTTTCATACTTGTGGCAGGATTCGCACTTGGGCTGGAGCAGCCGTTCGAAGCATGGCTGTGGTTTGGGTCTCGATCCCAGCCGGGTCCCACGAAGAGCTCTCTGAGAAGCTCCACTGTGCGCACATGACAGCAAAGCAAAGGAAATAAAAGGGAGGGACACAGTTTGTACAAACAAGGCATGCTGGCTCTGTGATATTTTATGCCCTCTTCTTTCAAAACAATTACAGCGATGCCTCGCAAGACGAATGCCTCAAGAACGAAAAACTCGCAAGACGAAAGCGTTTTGCGATTTTTTGGGGTGACTTGCAAGACAATTTTTTAATGGCTATGCTTCCAAAGACGAATAGGAACGGATTCCTATGAGAAACCACGCTTTGCAAGATGACATTTTCGCAATACGAAACAACTCGCGGAATGAATTATTTTCGTCTTGCGATGCATCACTGTAATTGCTCTTAATTATGAGGTTAAAGCCTTACAAAACAAATGACACTTTCCCCCTCTTCTCCACTTGCTTATCATTAAACAAACAGTTCACAATAATATTCATTTCCCCCTCTCTTTCTTATAATGTCCCAGTGTACAATATATTGTTATTCTCATTTGTTTCAAACATTTCTTTTGTGGCATCTCTTTGTTAATTAGGAATATAGGTAAACCACAAGACGAGTGGCATTTTAAAAGGCACTTCACATTTCTCTCTCTTTCCTCCCCGTTTCACATGGCATCATTATTCTGTTGACTCCCTCTTGCGAAAACTGGCATGAAACGGAACAAGCTTTGTTATCTTATCAGTAGCCTTGTGCCAAAACAAGTTGTACTTATTTTGTAAACAAGGAAAATCAAGCTGTACTCATTTCCTTACTTGTAGCAACCCTGTACGGCACCTTTTTAAAAAAGCATTTCATTTTTCATGCAACACCATAAACACAATTTTTAAAATTATTGATAGTACCTTCTTTGATGGCATCCTGGATCAGCTTCTCGCCATAGGGAGTGTCTGACGATTCGGTGCGGAAAAGGGTGCGAGGATTCACACACGGCAAGGGTCCATCTTCGCTGCTGCTCTGCAGGGCCAGAATGTCCGTGAACAGCCCTACTTTTTCCTCCAGAAGTTCCGTTATGTTTCGGTCACACTGCTGAATCTTATCTGGGGGAGGAAGAGGAGGAGCACATGGCTACCACCAGAGTACAGACTGTAGGAAAGACTATCCCCCTTTCTGAAGAATAATGGACTTCGAAGGGGACTCTAAGGCCATCAAGTCTCACCCCCTGTTCAAAGCAGGAATCCAAAATCAAAGGAGGTATGATAGACGGCTGCCCAATTTTCTCTTGAACGCATCTATCCCTGGAGTGCTCACCACCTCCTGAGGTCAATGGTCCCATTGCCTTAAACGTATTGGTAATTGGACATTTAGTCCAGTTGTGTCCGACTCTAGGGCGCGGTGCTCATCCCTGTTTCCAAGCTGTAGAGCCAGCGTTTGTCCAAAGACAGTTTCCGTGGTCACATGGCCAGCACGACTAGACACGGAACGCCGTGACCTTCCCACTGAGGTGGTCCCTCTTTATCAACTCGCATTTACATGCATTCGAATGGCTAGGTTGGCAGGAGCTGGGACAAGCGACGGGAACTCCCTCCATCGCGTGGATTCGATCTTACGACGGTGGGTCTTCCGACCTTGCAGCCCAGAGGCTTCTGCAGTTTAACCCGCAGCGCCACCACATCCATTGCCTTACTGCTCAGTTTCTCTTGATATTCAGCCTATATATCTGGCTTCCTGCGTTTCTCCTGATATTCAGCCTATATATCTGGCTTCCTGTAGCTCGAGCCCATTAGCATGTCCTAGACTGCACGGGGGTGGGGGCTCATCCTACCTTTCAGCTTCCGCAGAGATGCTTCATTTTCTGTCTCGATGAGTGGGAAATCCACCCGGTCAGGGCAACTGCAAAAAGTGGGCAACAAAAGCATAGGGTTAAAAAAAAAGAGAACAGCTGCCAAGGGTCCTTCCGCCTTCCCCAAGCCAAGGACCTCCAGATGTTGGACCCTAACTCCCAACACCTGTCCACTGGCCATGTGGGCTTGGGAGGGCTGCAGGTGCCAACCCATGCCCCCCGGACTGCGCGAACCTTGAGGGAGACTGCCCTGCATCGAGCACACACTCTCATCCCTCACACGGACCATCGAGATACCCCTGAGGTGGGCATGTCAGGCCTGAAGGCAACCCCCACAAGCCTCCATAATGGTCTTCGCCGCATCCTCTTCAAAGTTATGGGCCATGAGCCTCCATAACTGCCCCGAAGAACATTACATCGGTCTTAATGCTGAGTTGGTCCCTTCTCATCTGGGAACGCCAAGACTGACCAGCATCAGTTTTCCAGGGAGGCAGGCAGGATTTTTCTTTAATTCTACAAGCAGCCAAAGGTTGAATCGGGGACCATCTCCAGGTAAAGCGTGTGTTCACCTTCAGCCCATTCCTTTGCCAACCCTTCACAAGCTATCAGTTTGATGGGGTGGCCCTATATTCCAGCAGAGAATATTTCTCCTCTCTTTTACCAGTTATAATTTCTAATTTTCTAAACCTCAGTTTTGCTATCCGAAGAGAGATAGACACACACACACACATCAGTTATCCTTGTCAAGGGCAGAGGGGAAACGGCCCGGATCCTCCGAGGAAAGAGATCAGAAGATCTTGGACATTTTAGCCTCCTCTCCTCCCTGCCTGAGTAGTGACAGAAAGCCAGAGAGCTGGTATAGTTCTGTGGGTTGGAGGGTTGCAGAGTCAGGGGGCTGATCAGATCACCCCGAAGGGTGTGTGGCTGAAGGTGCCCCGTCATCCGCGTGATCTTTGGCCGAACGCACAATCACAGCACATTCCCAGAACAAGCAACGGCTGAATCATTTCTCCTGGGAAGGTGGCCATAATTCGGATCAACCTGATGGGACAACAATGATGATGATTAGCAGCAGGGGCCGTTGGGTGCCCAACGGGGTTGTTGGGATGCAAGACCCAGCAAACAAGGGTGGGCAGACACACAGAGCCACGTGTGCGTTCACATTGACACGCACAGCGCAGCCGTCTGCCTCCGGCGAACCTATGGCACGCGTGCCACAGCTGGCACGCAGAGCCCTCTCTGTGGGCATGCGAGCCATAAGTCATGAGATTGCCAGCAGCCAAACCTGAGGAGGCAGCAGGCAGAATTGCTAGCGTCCTGACAGGCAGCGAGCCAGGATGCGAAGCAGCTGGCGGTGGCGGGCCAGCCGAGCTATAGGCAGTGTGAGATCGCCAGCAGTCAAACGTGAGGAGGAGGTGGCAGCCAGAATTGCTAGCACCCCAACAGGCAGCGAGCCAGGATCCGAAGCCAGCCGAGCTATAGACAGTGGTGGGGTTGGGTGCAACTGGAGGTGGATCTGGAGTGGGGTCTGGAGACACCTCCATGCCCAGGATTCCCCTTTCTGCTGCCACCGCCCGCTGGCATTCGGGCTCAAAAAGATTCGCCATTACTGCCTTAAGGGATGAATTGCGACAACCCTGTCGTATTGCGCACTATGCATTAGGGGTTCCCCTTAAAAGAGACGCTGTCTTGGGTTCTGGACGTGAGCTGTTAGCCCTAGCGGAGGGCAGGAGCATTCGATTGCAAGAGACGGTCAAAACTGGAAGAAGTTACATTTCTGGAGGCTACCGTTCAGGATCCGGCCCGAACAAGACTCACAGCTTGACGGTCTGCTGGATAATCCTCATCCAAGTGTTGCGGTCCTCACGAGAGGCCGTGTGCACCTCGTACATCTCGGGGGGAGTGTTGCTGATGAGGAACATGCCTTTCTCCTGGTTGGCGATGTCCCGCACAATCAGGTTTTGGAGGGAGATGACGGCTGGCTTGTCCTGAGGGGAAGAAGGTCGGGAGTTAAAGACTTCCAGACACCTTTCTGCTCATGCGTCTTGCCTGATCAATGTATAATTCGTCTGGGATTGATACCTGGAGGGAGGGCCTGGAGATATGCAGTTGTAATCAAAATGATGCGTTTAATTCATTAACCGCCCAGAGTAGATTCATCTAGATGGGCGGTATAAAAGCCAAATAAATAAATTTGGAGTTGCATTTGGGGAAACCGCTTGAAGCATTCATGGCATTGAGCTATTTCAATGGCTTATGTTTGATTTGTTCATTGCGAGCAGCTGAATGCCTCTACATTTTGACAAGAAACCTGATTTGCAATGGGGGGTTGAATAATTTTGATTACCCCTGTAAGTGGTAGTTTTCCCCTTGATTACCAGGGGGGAAAGCAAAAGCGAGTGGAAGATCTGGAGTCTTCTACTGAACTCAACGTGTCCAGAAATCTTATATATCTAGCAAAGCCTTGGTTCCCCTCCGTACAGCAGCTGATCGTTTAGTCGCTTAATTCAAATTCTCTCCCCCTTCTCCAAGTACCATTACCCCATGCATCTTTTCCTTATCTATGGGACTTAATTCTCCCCCCCCCCC